ATTTCAACCAACTCAGCCTGAGCCAACCAGCCACAGCTTGCAGCACCTGATGAAGGTCATCAGGACTAGAGTCTGACTGGCCGCCCAGCATCAAATAGAGCTGGGTGTCATCAGCATATTGATGACACCCAAGCCCACAACTCTGGGCAATCTGGGCGATGGGGTGCATGTAGATGTTAAACAACATCGAGGACAACACGGCTCCCTGAGGCACCCCACACTCAAGGGGATGCCTTCGGGATCGCTGGTTCCCTATCGCCACCCTCTGTCCCCGACCTTGGAGAAAAGAGACAAACCATTGAAGGGCAAGCCCCTGAATCCCCACGTCAGCGAGGCGGCGGGCCAGCAACTGGTGGTCGACCATATCGAACGCAGCCGACAGGTCTAACAACACCAGTGCCGCCCCGCCGCCCCGATCCAGATGCCTACGGAGGTCGTCCGTCAAGGCGACCAGCACTGTCTCCGTCCTGTGGCCAGGGTGGAAGCCGGACTGGAAGGGATTGAGGACAGAAGCCTCATTCAGGTAGCCCTGTAGCTGTGTCACCACCGCCCTCTCAATCAATTTGCCCAAATGGGGCAAATTGGAAACCCGCCGATAGCTGGCCAATTCGGCTGGGTCCAAAGATGGCTTTTTCAAGAGAGGACAGACCATTGCGTCTTTAAGTGCTCTGGGGAACTGTCCCTCAATGAGGGACTTGTTGACAATCTCCTGCAGAGCACCTCAAAACCCCTTGTGGCCCACTTTAATGAGCCAGGAGGGGCACGGATCCAGATCGCATGTGGTTGGGCGCACAGATGCAAGCAACCTGTCAGCTTCCTCCAGACTGACTAGGTCAAAACTCACTAAACCCGGTACCAAAGGCGTGCAAGGGGCCTCGAGTTCCCTGTTTCAATTGTAGCAGGGAGGTCGCAGCGGAGGGCCAAGACTTTATCTGCAAAATAGCTCGCAAATGCCTCACAGCCTAAATCCAATTCCCTAGCATTGTGCCTGCCCTGGTGCAAGGCCGTCAAAGACCGAATTACACTAAATAATTGGGCCGGGCGTGAGCTAGCAGATGCAATCAAGGTCGCATAGAACTCTTTCTTTGCAGTCTTGACTGCCATCTCATAGGCTTTCATAAACGTCCTATAGGATGTTCTTGACGCTTTGTCGCGAGCCCAACGCCTCCGTCTCTCTAGCCGTCTCAGCTCTCGCTTCAGCCGCCGCAACTCCTGGGAGAATTTTGGACCACTTCAGCCGACTCTCCCAGGATGAGGTTGACAAGGTTTTGGCAGCTGTGAAGTGCACCACTTGCCTCTTTGACCCATGTCCATCTTGGCTGGTTAAGGCCAGTGGAGATGGTATTCAGCCTCTCTGGGTGATATTATAAATCTATCCCTGTCTTCCGGGGTATTCCCAGAGAGTTTGAAAGAGGCAGTGGTCTGACTGCTCTTGAAAAAAATATATCTTTGGACCCTACAGTCCTGGCCAACTACTGCCCAGTACTGAAACTTTCATTTCTGGGTAAGGTACTTGAGAGAGTGGTGGCCAAGCAACTACAGGTTTTCTTGGATGACTCCTCAATCCTGGACCCATTCCAGTCTGGCTTCTGCCCTGGCCATGGGACAGAGGTGGTGCTGGTCGTCCTCACAGATGACCTAAAGAGACACCTGGATTGAGGTGGGTTGGGGCTGCTGTTGCTTCTTGATCTTACTGCAACATTTGACATGGTCAACTATGATCTTTTGATCCACCGCCTTGCCGATGTGGGGATAAGGGGGACCATCTTGCAATAGCTGTCCTCCTTTCTCTCGGGTTGGGGATGGAGGGTGGCACTTGAGGAGAGGATCTCACCAAAATACCCACTGATTCCCTGATGCTATTTACAATCTACATGCACCCCCTTGCCCAGATAATTGGGTGGTTGGGCTGGGTTGTCACCAGTATGTGGATGATACCCAGCTGTATCTGTTGATGGATGGATGGCCAGGCTTAGCCCCAGATATTTTGGACAGGGCATTAGAGGCTGTGACTGGTTGTTTGCAGCAGAGCTAGCTGAAATTAAATCCGTTCCTGAGTCTGGGGAGGGGCAGATTTGAGAATCTAGCTCCCAACCTTTGGTGGGGTACTGTTAGTGCCAGTGCCAAGGGTGAGGGACTTAGGAGGAGTGATACTGGATGCCTCATTGACTATGGAGGCCCAGGTCAACAATGTTGCCAAATCAGCCTCTGATCCCCACTGACTGGTTTGGCAACTAGTTCCCTATCTCTCCCCAGTTGGTGCAAAATGCGGTGGCATGCCTTCTGACTGTGATGACTATGGGGTGTGCATTCAGCCAGTTAGGGTTGCCAGCCTCCAGGGGCCTGCAGATCTCCCACTTTTACAACTGATCCCCACCTGGCAGAGATCAGCTCCCCTGGAGAAAATGGCTTTGAAGGGTGGACTCTATGGCATTGTACTATGCTGAGGTCCCTCCCCGTCCCAAACCCGCCCTCTCCCAGATCTATCCCCAAAGACTCCAGGTATTTTCCAGTCCAGATCTGGCAACCCTACAGCCAGTGCTGCACCAGTTATACTGGCTTCCAATTGAGTACAGGGTGGTGCTAACCTTTAAGGCCCTACGCAGCCAAGGACCAGCATATCTGTGGGACTGTCTCTTCCCTTATATGCCCTGGAGAGCTTTATGCTCGGCAGAGCAATATCTACTGGCAGTCCCCAGCCCAAAAGATGTCCATTTGGCCTCAACTAGGGCCAGGGCCTTCTCCACCCTAGCCCCAACTTGGTAGAACATGATCCCAATTGAGATCAGGGCCCTGTGGGACTTATTAGATTTCCACAGGGCCTGTAAAATGGAGCTGTTCTGCCAGGCTTTCAGCTAACTGGCAGGCGTCCATTCATTCTGGCCCCACCTGCCCAAACTGCCCTTAAGTCACCTTATGGTTCAGATGGCAGTCATCACCATCAATTATAACTGGACTGCTATTATATCTCTGCCTGCTGGTCTTCAATACAAGTGACACAATGGATTATTATTGGCTTGCCATCTGTCTTTTAATCCAGACTCTTACAGCTATGGTTTTAGAATGCCGGGGATTTTTGTTATATTTATGTTGCAACCTGCCCTGAGCCCACATATGGGAGAGGGTGGGATATAAATCAAACAAATAAATAAATAATCCCTTTTTACCTCTGAGTCACCCCCATGTACTGACCTTTCTGTCAGTCTACCAAATACAACTAAGCCATTTTGTTCTTTGGGTCCCGCTAAGAATTCTAAGGCAAGAGCCTTTGGTGGCAGCGAAAACAAGTAGGAAATGCTAAGGAGGGCAAGGAGGCAGCATAAAACACATCACCTCAGAACACTACAGAGAGGCGCCTTTATAGATGTTACATATAAGGGGTCTCAGAAAAGAGCAAAACAGTACACCCACTTTTCCTCCAAGGAGCTTTAGATGGTACACATGAATTAGGCTATCCTATTTTTTACTCAGAACAATTCAGTAAAATAGATTAGGATAAGAAAGAGTGACTGGTCCAAGGTCACCCAGTGACTTTCATGGCCTGAATGTGGATTTCAAACCCAAGTTTCCGCAGTCTAATACTCAAACAACTTCATTACACTGACTCTCCTGTTATGGTACCTTTGTCATGTGCACTGTGACATCCCATTCCATCCATTGGCTTAAGTTCCAGAATCTGCTGTATTTTATGAAATCTAATGTTTTTGTGAAATATGTTGTTTTTTGACAAACATTCAGAGTACATTTGAG